CTTCTAATCATTTGGATCGTTTTATGAACGCCTCCAAAAGTTTCTAACTTTAGATTATAATTCTTCAAAAGAATTCCAATTATTTGAGTCGTTTTATGAACACCTTCAAAAGTTTCTAATTTTAGATTATAATTCTTCAAAAGAATTCTCCCAATTATTTGAATTATTTTATGAACGCTTCTTTTTGATTTTATTCCACAGAAGAAAATTTCCTTAGTTTCAAAGCACAGCTTTTCGAAACAACATAATCTTCTAATCATTTGGATCGTTTTATGAACGCCTCCAAAAGTTTCTAACTTTAGATTATAATTCTTCAAAAGAACTCCAATTATTTGAGTCGTTTTATGAACACCTTCAAGAAAAAAGTTTCTAACTTTAGATTATAATTCTTCAAAACAATTCTTCCAATAATTTGAATCATTTTATGAACGCTTCTTTTTGATTTTATTCCACAAAAAAAAAATTTCCTTATAGTTTGGAAGCACAGTTCTTCGAAAGAACATAATCTTCTAATCATTTGGATCGTTTTATGAACGCCTTCAAAAGTTTCTAATTTTAGATTATAATTCTTCAAAAAAATTCTTCCAATAATTTGAATCATTTTATGAACGCTTCTTTTTGATTTTATTCCACAAAAAAAAAATTTCCTTATAGTTTGGAAGCACAGTTCTTCGAAAGAACATAATCTTCTAATCATTTGGATCGTTTTATGAACGCCTCCAAAAGTTTCTAATTTTAGATTATAATTCTTTAAAAGAATTCTTCCAATAATTTGAATCGTTTTATGAACGCTTCTTTTTGATTTTATTCCACAAAAAAAAAATTTCCTTATAGTTTGGAAGCACAGTTCTTCGAAAGAAAATAATCTTCTAATCATTTGGATCGTTTTATGAACGCCTCCAAAAGTTTCTAACTTTAGATTATAATTCCTCGAAAAAATTCTTCCAATCGTTTAGATCGTTCTACGAGCGCTCGAAAGAAGAAAATTTCGTTCAAGAGTTCGCTTGATTCTTCGAAAGAGCGATAATCTCCCAGTTCTATTGAGCGTCTCAAAGAAAAAAGTTTCTAACTTCTGTAATTGTAATTCTTCGAAAGAATATTTAGATCGCCTCTTTTTGATTTTATTGCCTTACATTTTATTTCCTCAAAGAAGAAAGTTTCGTTCCAATTTCATAGAGCATAGTTGTTCGAAAGAAATAAAGTATCTCGATCCATCATTCGTCCAATAATAATTTTTCAAGGATGAATCGACGATTCATTCCGTTCGAAGAAAAAAAAAAAAAAGGAAAGGATTAAAATCTGAACTCGTTTCGATATTCTCCAATTAACCTTCGATTCCTTTTTTTTATCCCGCAACGTGACGCGCCAATTTATCTAAAGGTTTACACCGACGAAAGAACGGATAAACCTGGTGGAACGTGTTAAACGGTATTAATACGTTTACGTTTATGTTCGATTGGATCAACCGTTTGGGAATGAAAGTGACAATGAGTGGGTGTTCGTTATGCGATCGATAGATGCACCGTTTGACGCAAACTATCGTGACCTGTTTATCAAACCGTTCGCCATATTTATCCGTTATCCTTAATTTATTTCTTCATTACGTTTAATACATTATTATTTATAATATCGATCCAAATTTCCATAAAAAAAAAAAAAAAAATGTTTGAAAATTGCGCTGATATCGTGCAAGAAAATTTTCTAAGTTGTAATTGTTAAAAAAAAGTTAATAATTATCGATTAATAATTTTCTAATTTATAGAATTAGAAATAAATTAATAAATTGGAAAAACTATTAAACTCGCTGTGATTTCATTTTAACGTTAATTACACGCTCGTTTTCATTCCATCCAACAACTTGTTATTTTCTGTCTTCTCGTTCGTTCCATCGAGCCAATAAATTATTCTAATTAATAACACGAATTTGTTTTCCATCTTATTCTTGCTTCCAATAATAAAATGTTAGTTAAATTATTTTCAACCTACGTAAGCGAAACATTGGAATGTACGAGAATAGCAAAAAAAAAAAGTTACGTAAAAATTTTGCTACATCGATATAATTTGCGATATAATTCGAAGGCTATGACTTTTTTTTTTTTCTTTTCCAGGAAGAATAATTTTAAACAACGTCATTTTTAATGCCAAGCTCAATACGGTCGATACTAATCGTTATACGTAAGAAATTACGGCAAACTTTACTGCAGAGAAGATACACGGAACTTGTTGGCAACTGTGATTACGTAAATCAAGTTTAATCAGCGCCTCGGTTTCTAACAGCTCGTGGGACTAATTTTGTTTACTTGTACGAGTTTACGACGAGACCGGTCTTTTCTCGCGGAGGAAAATTTTCGATTCCGCGATGTATTTCGAGAAGAGCACCGTACCTTTAATTTTTTCGAGAACGATCTTCTATACCCATTCCAAGGCAAACGATAAACGGTAGAGTCGAGGGCTATTCCATTATCCCGATTAAAATGGTTAATACGATTTCTGAACTCCTCCTCGAAAGTAGAAAGTTAAAGGTAGAAACGTTCGAAATTCCCAAGCGAAAAGATCCTTGGACGAAAGGTATTCATTGCGGAAAGATTAATCGATTTACTTGCGAATTCATTTAGCGGCGAATCGACAGATAAGATGGATGTACTTCTTCTCCCCTCTTCCCTTTCCAACAGTCCCACTCGCGAGATTTGTTCTCTGTGTGTGTGTGCGCGCGCGCGTTACGAGTGCGATTCAGTGGGGGAAAAAACGGAAAAATTGTTTGAAAACGCGAGAACGAGAGAACGCCATTTTCATGTGTTCAAAACTTCGTATATCGGGCCTGAAAAATCATTAGTCTAATTAAGTTGAAAGGAATTGGCGAGCGGATCGATCGGTATGGCACAAAGGACTTAATTGAAAGTAATTCTTGTAGGAAATTACGTAGGACGTAGTCAAACGTCGCTCCTTTTGTTCGCTTCCTTTCTGCCTTACATTTTCTCTCTTTCTCTCTTTTCCTTTCCATCCAAGCCCTCCTCCCGCCCTCTGATAATTTATTCTGGATTCTTAAAACGTCTCTTGGATACTATCTAATTTTTTTCTCCTCGTGGGTGGATTTTATCTTCTCACGGCAATAACGAATTCTTTAATTATTGACAAAAAAAAAAAAAAGAAAAACGATGTTAGTGGACGATGGTGAGTTAGACTCGATTTCGATTATCTATTGCACTTAAAAGAAATATTGATAATATTTACAAAAAAGTATTACACTCCTTTCGAAGATTTTTTTTAATATATTGTCATATCCATTCTAACTTTAATATAAATCGAGAAACGAGAAATTAAATAAACAATTAAAAAATAATTAAATTAAATAAATAAATAAAAAAAGTAAATAATTTTTGTTTGATTTTTATTTTACCAATTAATTTACCATTTAATTTTAATTTAATTTTAAATTTAATTTAACTAAAAATTAAATAAAAACTTATTTACATTTGGATTAATTTATCTGTAACATACGATTAAAACCTGATCTAACCTAATTTAAATTATTTCGAAGAAAAATTTTTGTTAGTAACTTTTTAACGAAGAAAGAATGTCTTTTTATTAATTGTCGAAATATTTCCTGGCATTATTATACTTTTAATTATCGATTTTTATTTGTTTTATATATTTAAATTTTCTTTATTTTATATGAGAAAAGAGGTTATTATGATTAGATTATTTTGAATATTACAAAAAGAAATAATAATTTAAGAAAATTTAAATTAAAATAAAAAACATTGATGAGCAAATGAAAAACATCTTTCACTGATAGAAGAAACAGTCGTATCGAGATAGGATTGCCAAACTGTTTGCCACGTCAATAGATGATATCAGTTGTTGCCGCAAGCTTTCGAATTGTCAATGTTTTTTTTCACGAGCTCGTAAAACTTTATCCTCTTACAGGCAGAGCGACCACCTCTCGACCAGTCTCTTCCTTTCTCGCGCAACAAATCCACCCGTAAATTCCACGATGAATTAAATTCCAGACTGAAAATGGAATTCTCTCCTCGATCGTGCGGGAGTCTATAAACGTATTTTTGGTTAGGTTAGGTTTGGTTCGACGCAAACGCAATCGCCATTTTTTCCCGCGAGTATACGATTTTAAGAGGCGAGATCTTGGAAAAGAGGTCAACGAAAAAAGTCGAGCAAGATACTCGCCAAGATATTTGCGACGATATTGTATCGTGAATAGAAACTTCCATTTTCGGAAAAAACTGATCTAAAGTTTTTAGTTTCGAATATCGATTTTCTAGATTAATTTCATTCAAGTTTCTTTAAATAAATATTCGTATAAGGGATAAAGAAAAAAAAAATTAGATCGAAAATTCTTAGTTTTTTTTTAACATAAGGTGTAAAAGGAAAAAGATAAATAAAACACGAAGAATCGATTGTGCAATGAAAGGAAAGAAAAAGTAAAGGAGAATGGGAAAGAAATGGGCAAAGATCGAGAGATGGATTCTCGATTAGTCCTTTTGTTTTTTTTTTTTTTTTATTTTTTATTTTTTTTTTATTTCCATTTCGAAGCTGTAAATGTTTTCCGCCATTTCCTCGAGTCGAGGAAGCACGAAAAGAGCAAAAAAGCATTTGCCTCCCCTGCTGCAATGAACGCGATTGCCATTTATTCTCTGTCTATCGCGTTGAAAAAGGTAAAGAAGGAAGAGGTATGCAAAACGAAATCGAAAACAATTTAATTGCGAAATAGACCGAGATTGAATTACCGATATAATTTAACGGTGAAATTTAAAAATTACATTTGCGTAGCAATTTATATTATCGACACTTCATTCTGTTCAACGTGCATGCTTCTTTTAAAAAAATTCTTTTCCGTTTCTTCTTCCAAACTTACTCATTCCACTCGTCAAAAGATTTCTTCGAACATCTTTACTTTTTTGTCCTTCCACCTCGCTACCTTCAAGGATAACTTCTTCGGGGTCACGAAGTCTTAGAAGTAAGATTTTCCGCAATTTTCCTTTTCTAGCACTTTCTCCACTTTTATCTTCATCCGTACCTTTTGAAATATAAATCGAGGTTAAGAGAAATCAGTCTTTACCTTTTCATTTCATCCGTGCGATTGAATTAACCAGTTTTAAAGATACTATTGTTTATCTCGACGACGATATTTTATATTCTCGAAAAAACATATTTTAATATATAACATATTTGCTAGCTTAAATCAATTCGATAAATTTGCATTAAAAAATAAATATTATGTATCTATGCGAATATACCGATACGCGATAATTTTCAATTGAATTTTAATATTTTGCTGACTCATATCCTAACCTATCTTATTTGAAGTTCGTTTGTTCTAAATAAAAAAAATTGTTCTGCTAAATCTATCGTGAACAAATTATAATATATGGAATAGAAGCATGGTTACGAAACTATATAAAATCGTTGAAGATAAATACAAATTTCTAATTCGTTGTTCACAGTCATCAATTCGCAGAAAGGAAATGAAAATAGCGTGGAAATTGTACCTCTTTTTCTATCTCTGTTATGTTTCTCTGTTATGCACCATATCTTGTGGAAAATCTTGCGATAAACTTTAATATTGCAATTCTTCCGAAAGAAATTTTCCATAACTATACTTCCATATACTAGGATACAATCGAAAAAGGTTTGTTTCGTTCGCCATCTTAAAAATTCACCAAATCGAATTTATTATTTGTAGAGATATTTGTAGATAAATATGAAATCATTTTTGTTATGCTTAAAGTCAGGATTCGAAGACCACTGAATCTAAGATTTTCATCATCTTCTTTTATCGATATTTTGATAGTTTCTCGATTATCCATTATCGCATGATTATATAATATAACACGATTTTTATGCCAAGAATTATGAAACAAATTATCTGCGAAACAAATAATCGAATCAAGCTTTATTTTTAGCGAAGCACGTGACCGCGCACACAACGTTTCATCAAAGCAAATGGAACTAGGTTAGAATCCTTTTCTTTCTTTTCTCTTGATTTTTCGAAAGCGGACGACTTGCACGAGCGCAAGAAAACGAAATTTTTTACACAACACCCATTTCCGACTAGTTTGAGTGTGCACTACTCATATCCTAAATTCTTTGCGAGAATAAAGTTTATAACGTTCGTAAAGAAAACCACGCGAAAGAATCCGAACAAGCGACGCGTCCATATTGCGTTTATGTTTATCTGTCGCGATCGTTTATCTCGATCGATTCTTCGATGTATATACACATATTCGACTTTGCGCGATATCGATATTTCCTAAAAGAACGAATGAGAAACACTTGTTAAACTCGATACATGTCTCGAGGGATATTGTATCGAATCTCTCTCAATCTAACCTTTCTTACAAGTAGCTATATAATTGAACGAGAATATTATAGATACGAATTTGGAAGCTTTCTTGAAAATGTTTCACGACCGATGAACTGTACACGATACATCAGGTAATTAAAAATATAATTAAAATCGTGGCGAGTAATTAACAATAGAAGCAATATCTGTAATTATTGAAGCGAAATGCGATCGTAATTCTTATCCGGTTATTTTCATTAAAAATAAAGAGCTACTAAGTTTCATAGATCGAAGCAACAAAAGTGATTTCGATCTTCCTACTTTTTAAACGTTCTTCGCTAGTTTTTTTTCTTTCTTTACGATGTTTCTCTCGCTTCCTCGATCAAGCTTTGTACGACGAAAGTGGAACGTGTTTTCTCCTTAAGCTGTCGTAGTTCTCGCCTTCTGTAAAATATTCGAGTTTTTTTCTAGTTCTCTCTCAACTCGAAACGTTCTTCGTTTTTTCATTCGATGTGGCTTTCGTACGAAAGAATGTTCCACAATGGAAGTTCGTAACAAAACGACTGCAATTTCATTTCACTGTATTAATGGACGCAATAACAGAATCATAACTATAAAAATATAACTATAGAAATGTTATTTCGTACAGCGGAATTGCTGCTTGTACACGATATCGCGTTCATATTCGAAACCAAAGCCAAACTTCTGGATATTAATTGCGGTCTGCAGCTTTCTGACGGAAAGTAGAGAGAATTTTACGTAGAAAGTAAGGAGAAACGTAAATATTTAATAATTTATTCGACGAATCGAACGAAACTAGCCTTCCCTTGAAAAGCAAATTACTTATTAACGAGAGGAAGAACTTGATAAATCTTTCATCGCGAATATAAAATTTCTCCTTTTCCATATCTCGCGTCTCTTTTTTCACTTTAAGCCACGATATCCGATTTTCATTCTCGCGAAACATGTTTGTGTCGAAAGAACCCTTTCTTTCCTTCTCATCTTTTCGAACTCTACAGTACGTCTCTGTTAGTTTCGTTATTCATGGCAAAGAATAAACGCTTGGAAAAAAAGCACGCGGTTCAAAATCGCGACAAAGAAGATTCATCTCGCTTTCGAGCAGAAGGCGTGCTTCAAAGTCTGTCTCTCAATCGAATCACATGCGCGTTCCTGCATTGAGGAAACCGATTTCAAAGAAGCAAACGGAAATCGATCCGATCATCGGACGAATTGCCGATTCGAGTTTTATGTTTGAGAAAAGAACAGGTTTCGATAGACTCTATTCTCTATAATCGCGTTGAAAAGCTGTGACGAACGTCGGTCAATAAAAGTCCAACCTACCGTAGAATATCGATCGACATTGTTGGCCTGTGATTCAAGATGAACAAATACCGAGTTTTCCAATCTTTTTTTCTGCAAAAATTCTATCTTGTTGCCATCGAACATATATCGAGCTTTTCTTTATATCTGTTACGAAATTTCGAGAAAACAATGTTTCATTTTGAAAATTATTCAGGTCAATCGATGAATCTTGGAAATGATGACAATACATTTGATGATATCATTCCATATATCTAATGTTAGATTTTTCTCGAGAAACATCGTTGAATAACCTTGACCATGTTTAATAAATTGAACTTGAAATACGTAATACTCGGTTATAAATGATTTCAATATCTCATGTGACCATTCACGTGACGAGTATAGATTAAATACTTGATTACAATCAATGATTCAAGGATTGATATAACTACAAAAAAATATCATGTACAACAATAATAAAATTTATTTGTTATGAAAACATTTTGTGTTTTTATTTATTACTATATAATAAAATTAGTGGAAATTTGTTTGATTTCTTCGAAGATATAGTAAATGATAATTAAGTAGTTTCTTTCAAGTTTTCAAAGTTTGCCAAAGACGTAATTCTACAAAATAGCGCTTATAATGATATCTTGTTTTCTGTATGTTTGTCTCGTACAAGTCTAAGTGTGTGCCAAACATAGGCTGCCAGATAAAACATAATCTTAACTAAAATTAACTTTGATAATATTACACCGTTTACATTTCTATCTTTAACTTTTCTTTGTTTCTACTACTTAAATATTACTAATAAAAAGTATTTACTCACTTACTTAAATATCGTTCCGCGATACAATCTCGAGAAAACATGGTGACGTTTTGATGAAATAAAGGTTAGGAAAAGAATTGGACAAAATAAGACGATCAAAGATCGAAGAACTAAAGTTAATAACGAAATTGTATTTCTTCTTTTTATCGACGATAATAAAATACAAATAAAATACAAAGATCTCGAGTGGATTAATATCGGTTAAGATTGAAATTTAATCCTTGAAGTTTTACGCGAGAAAGTGGTATTTGCGCTAAGCTGTTACAATTAGTATGTATCATACACGCGATAAAACACGTATGATACCTGTAATTTTGCCGACGCAGCTTCTATGCTCGGTGTTCTATTCTAGCTAGGAATCGGTGACAATGCTGTGTTCGCATACACGGAAATACGAGCGTAACTCGCATGTACCATGTATGCAATACGTTCTCGTCCAATACGTATGCTTCCACGACTCGTGCACGTTCAGACTACACTATCCATTATATGTATACCTCGTTTAATCTCTCGTGCTTTGCATCCCTTTCCATCTTGAATCCGGCTAATTCGAACACGAAGCTTCTATCCTTACGAATCGTGGCAACCTAACCTAATCTACGAATCCACATCTCGATCACGAATGTTTCTAATCTCACATTTTACGGGAGTTTATACGTGTTTTCGTTTTCTTTCTCTTACTTTATATATATCTTATTTTTTTCTATCGTTATAATTGTCAAGAATATAATTAAGCTTCGTTTCCAAAGTGATCCTTATTCTCAGTGCTCGCATCCTTTTTCATGATGAATTCAAACACGAAATTTTTATAACGAATCGAGTAATCTAACCTAATCTACGAATCCACATCTCGATCACGAATTTTTCTAATCTCACGTTTTACGAGAATTTGTACGTGTTTTCGTTTTCTTTTTCTTACTTTATATATATCTTATTTTTTTCTATCGCTATAATTATCAAGAATATAATTAAGCTTCGTTTCCAAAGTGATGCTTATTCTCAGTGCTCGTATCCTATTTCATCTTGAATTCAAACACGAAATTTTTATAACGAATTGTGGCAACCTAACCTAATCTATGAATCCACATCTCGATTACGAATGTTTCTAATCTCATGTTTTG